TGCATAAAGATTGCATCTCCCAGAACAGAAATCGCTTCACGAAAAGACAGTGAAATGCTTTCTTCTGTGTATATTTTCATGGGCTCCAATATCCCGCAAGTTTCATCATACCCCACTTTCGGATGGGAATTCTAATTAAGCAAAAGAGAATCATAGTGGGGAATCTGGGATGGAATCTACTTCCCCATTTAGAGACGGCTTCTACGGGGAATGAGTTCCGTGGGGGAGAGTCAGCGTCGCATATATTTAGTTGGGTCTGTTTACTGTGCGCTCTTTGGCATAGACAAATATTGGATTGTACTTCTGGTTGGATGCCCCAGTAAGTACCATTCGTCTCGCCTCTCTCGTGTCTAGCTATCTTCCTGAACTTTCCTGTCCCTTACACCATTACCCCGTCCCTTTTGTTTATTTACACAGTTGTTGGCGAATTTGCTGGGAGTCTATTTATGCCACTGTTTTTGCTGTACCCTGCAGTCTAGTAAAGAATTGGGTTGTACTCGTAGAATGGTAAATCTCAGAGACTAGTGCAATCTTTACCCTTTTTCGGCAAAATATTTCAAATATTCCTGTGCTATCCAGAAACCTATGCTACTTAAGAAACGCCCTTTTTAAGATATGGAAATCTTAATTAATAGACTGGTATCCAGGCTAGTGTCTTGAAAAATAACAAAAAGCATGTCAAGCACAGAATTCTTACAGTCAAAATAATGAAGATTACCTATGGTTTGCCCCTATTTTTGGCAGAATAAATTTTTGTTTCAGCTTGCTAGTTCTAGCATGTTTATTTCACAGATACAGATTTCTCAAGTATTATGATGTCTCTTCCCGATCAGTAGGTATCTTTTAGTCGTAATGTCAATTTATAGCTTCTGTTTCTTTATCATATTTTTCCCATTGACGCATTTTACAATGAGACCTTAAGATGGAGGCCACAGCTTGACCAGGGCAAACACCTAAGCTAAGCCCTGAACCTCGCCTTTGAGATGTTGGTTCCCTTTTATTTTGTAGTGAATGGAGAGAGGATGCGGGGACGGGAACAGGCAACAAGCAGCAGGATAATAAAACAGTGCGTTCTGGGTGCGCTATTTGCATTTGGCTCATAACTCTTTTGATTGCAAATAAACCCACGACAGGCTCTTTATTATTGTTGTCGCAGTTGCCTTCTGGCTCGTAAAATACCAAACACAAGTCACACCCACGCCAGGAATCCCAATTGAGGCTAAACAAAAAGGTGAAAAAAAAAACAAAAAAAAATAAGAGAAAAAAAAATAATAAAGAAACTGCCACACAGAGTCCGCCACACAGTCCGCCGGTCTGCCAGGCCAGGGCATCCTTCAAACGCTCGAGCAGAACACAAGGGGCAAATGCAAATGCAAATGAAGTTTGGTTCGTTTTTTATATTGTTCGGTAGGTTTCAGGTCGGGGCCTAACAGCGCACCAACTGTTTTTCGAATACTGTCAACCCAGCAGACACTTAATGGGTTTTTTCTCTCTTTTTTGTATGTGTGTGTTCATTCATCTGGGTTCCAGCCATAGCCCCAACCCCTGGAGTGGAGCTCCGGTTCCTGCTCCTGGGATTGGCACTGCAGATTGATGGTAATGCAGGGAGGCGCTGGATACAGAGTTGGAGTCGGAGTCGGTGTCGGGTTGTGGCAACCTGGGATGGAATGGCTCTGTCATGGCTGAGCATGCGTAATGAAGCTTAAGTAGAACTGGTTATAAAACGCCAGGCATGGTCGAGGTGTTGCCTTTGATGGGCTCAGAATTAGTCGAAAAGAAGTAGAAGAACGATGGGTAGGTGGATGAGTAGTTTTTGAATAAGCTGACAGAAGGGTAAGACTTGGGATTCAGCTAAGCAAAACGATGGGTGAGATTTAGTTGGCTAAAAATATAAGAGAGAGAATTTTAAAAAGGGTGTAAAACCAGAAAGGGGCTTAAGAAAAAGGGAAGAATGCACTTTGCACTAGACAAAAATTAGATATTATGCTTGGAGAAGTAGATCACATCCTCATACTTAGAACTCTGCAATATACGCCAAAATCGATTTTTAAAAATAAAAAACCCGATTTTCTTTCATAATTATATTTTCATATCTCGGCATCTGTAGCGCCGATATCGAAAACAATTAATGAGTTGATATGAGTTGTCCTTCGATAGGCTTTTTGATTCGTATCAAAACAATGGTTATACCCAAAGTAAACCAACCTGAAGTTCTCAACAGCAAAGTATAAAAGTAGAATATTAATGTGAACTTATAGAAATAACGTGAAATTTGTATGCCATTATCTTTGGAATAGTTATAATAAGGGGAGTATGTACTATGGCCACAAGCAATGTGCAATAATGGAGAAAATGCATCGTGAAGATAAAGATAAGTTCGAAATAAAAACTCGAAATGTTAGAAGATGCCAAACATAACAAATGCGATATAAATTCCCTCTATAAAACTGAAATTTATGACTTGAGGAAACTTTTCGAAAATATCGACTTGAACAATTTATTGTACAAATGGAAATAAAGTTGATACAGAAATTTCGTACAGCAAATAGAAGCAGGATGTACAATACATGAATCATATGAAGAGGAAATCGAAACCAATAAAATAGTTGAACCTGCAGTTTATTTAAATAATGGATAAGCATTATGTTACGTACCCCCACAATATTCACAATACCCCCAAAATATTCACCACACAACAAGATATATTACACCCTTTCGCACATTCTGAGGATTCAAGCAGCCAAAAACGATATATGTATGTACATGGCGTAGTTTGGGAATTCGAGCCATTAGCTGCCTGGCATGCAGGACATGACTTGGCATAACCTTCAATTTTCAGGAATCCACCGTAGCTTTAGCCCCCTTGCCCCAGAAGCTTTCCATTACGCTGGCCATTTCACTTAACGCTTTGGTGGCTAAGGGAATGTGAATGGTGTTGTATCCTTGCTGCTGCTTGCTCCTTTCCCCTTCCTGGTTTGGTGCTCCTGAATGGCTGGTGACTCTACTCCTACTGGTGTCATTTTTCTTACATGCACACTTCATTTATTACACCCTGAAGGCAGGCTTTTCTCTGGCTACTCTATCTTTTGCCTCTGGCACCTCTTTCCTTCCCCTCCCCTCCCCACCCCTTCCCCAGTTGTCGCATTATGTATCACTTATATGCATGTCGTTAGTTTTCATGTCATTCAGTGGGGCTATCCAAGGGGCTGGGAGTGCACAGAGAATCCTTTTGTTGAAAATCGATATGTGGCAATGCAAATTGTAAAAGTTTTTACCCCCCGTCTACTCACTACTCTCTGTCGATTTTTGCTGTTGCTGTTGCTGCTGCTTCTGGTTCTGCTTCTGCTGGTGGTTCCTCTGTTGCTCTTTGAGCTGTAAGTGATAGCTTTTCAGGTGCTCTCAGGTGTGGCACACACATTGCAGTTGCTGTTGCAGTTTGCTGTTGCTGCTGCGGCTTTTGTGTTTGTGTGTATGTGTGTGTGGAAAGCGTGTTAAAAATCTGTTAAATAAATCAAAATTTCTGCGTATAACAAGCCGAACACACACAGCCATACAGGCGCTGCCATGAATAGCTGCCACACACTCAAACATATTCATAAAAAGCTGCCACATGCCACACACACGCACACAGATACTCATGAATAGCTGCCACATGAATACCTGCCTCTGCAACCTGCCAGCATAAATCAAAATGCATAAATTTAATTTAATTTTTGTTCACTTGCCGCAAAAACAAAGCCAAACATCGGATAAAATAAAGTTGAAGCAAGAAGCGTTAAAGCTCTTGTTGCATACTCCAAGGGGCCTGCCACGTGGCAGACAGGTAATGGGGAGGGGAGAATGGGGTTCCATGGAGAACCATACAATCTGCTTATTACAAAATGATTTTAGCATAATGCATTTTCGCATTTTCCACACAATTTTCCCCCACATCAAATAAACACAAAAGAAAATAATTCAATGATTTTGCACGCAGAGATTTCCATATTTCATCACAAACATTGATACAATATTTGGGTATTTCACAAGAAATTGTAATAAGAGAACATCATGATTAGTCATCAAGACATCTTTAAAGATCAGAATAAAAGTGGAGCACAAAATCAGGCAAAAAGAATAGATGGGCGTGCATAGAGTCAATTTTCTGTGTAGTTCATATCAGTATGCAAAACCATACATGTCCATTTGATGAGTCAGTCTTCTAGCGAACAAGAATTTGCCAGATGAGCCAAGACGAACAAATGTACATATATATATGTTTGTATATGTATTTAAAATTATTAACATATGTATCTATTATATAAATAAATATCTTTATCAGAGAGATGACTGGCAATTCAACAAGCAGCTCCAACCAATAAGAAACGGCATCTCCGCTTTTTCTGATAGCTTAATTTATTAGAGCTGCATCATAAAGCGATTCAAGCAACACAACGCATGCCAAAACCTAACCTTTAGTCAACTCCAATTAAAGTAAAGTTGGACTGCTTTTAAATATGATTGAAGTTTGTTCAGCCATTAGGCAATGATCCCCCCAAAAACATGTTAATAAAAAATTGAAATTCAAATATTTCAGCATGGTGTCATCTCATGGTGTCCCACCTAGAATTTAACAATCCAATTTATTAGCTGCTCGCACTGTAAAATATTTGCAGACTTATTTTTGTGTAGTCACACAATTTTCAGTAAATGGTAAAAATTTCATGGGGAGTAAAACCATATTGCCAATAGTGCAATAATAATGAAAGCCTCAACATACAGAATGTGAAATGGAGTTACGTGGTTATAAAACAACAAAAACAAAAAACCAAAATAATAAATAAAACTCTAACCATAGCAGAAGTAAATCCAAAAAAAATATAAAAAAATATGCACCCGCATATGAACGGACGAATGTGTTTTTGTGTGGCAAAAGCAAAAGCGTGCAATATGCTGGATTTTTCGCATTTCCATATCAATTTTCAATGGTTTTTTTTCTTTCTTCTTTTTTTGTATTGTAGGACTATCCATCCGATCAGGCGCCTGGCGGTTGGACGGCACAGAAAGAGCAGGAATTGGGAACACCCAGTAGGGTGCAGGCCTCCCGACAGGCCTACGAGGAGAAGCAGGAGATAAAGCAGAGTGAGTATAGAATACAGTCCATGGGGTTCATTGAGGCTATTAAATGCCGTCTCACATAAGGTCGAACGATGTCTCTATAGCACCCCGTCCCTATCCCCGCACCCCGTCCCTTTTTGGTTGTGGTAATTTTGCTGCAAATAGATGTATGTAAACGGCGCCCAACCGACCGACCGACCGCCCGCCCGCCTATGATGATCACGTTCTGGCCATAAAAAATGTGCTAAGCAAATGTTTTCAGCGAAAAAAAAAGCAAAAGAAAGGGGGAAGTGCACACACAGACATTCGTACAATACGAAATGGCATAGAACAGAATGAAATTGTTTGGTGTTTGATGTGCAAAAGCGACCAGACTCAGAGATAAATATACTATGTATGTATAGAGGAGCCGACCCGGCACAATCCCTGTCTTTATTTATGGCAATGGAAATGAAAATGACTGTTTTATCCCTTGGCACGTGACTCTCTGCAGTCGATGATGGAAAACCAGAACTACGCGTCGAGGCACCCAAACGACAGAGAAGGTCAAAAGTCAGCCTTGTTTAAGCTATACGCACTTTGCTTTCTAAACGCCCGAACTGAAAGTCGGAACCCAACAAATGAGTGAAAATTCCACTTTAAGAAGGACTCGAAAAAAAGAAATGAATAGCAAGTCGCGGGCTGTAATACCCTTCCGCACATGTTACACAGGAAGTAGCTTTATTTGGATTGTATTTTCGCAGAAAGGTGAGAAGTGGAGGTAGAAGAATTCCTCTAGATAGAAGTTCTCTAGCTAAGGTTAATATTAATAATATTTTATAATATATTAATATTTTCCCAAAGAAGAGACTACAATTCTGGAAGATTGGTTGCTTTATATACTTTTTGGGATGCAATTTTCTTTTCAAACTTGTGTGGAATATTTTGTACACCCTCTTTAAGGGTATAAGTAATACCCCTTGGGTTATTTTCTCACTACCTCTACCCATCCTTACCTCTCTCATTCTCTTTCTCCTACTTGCCCCATGATGCATCTGCACTTTCGTTGCAATTAAAAGGAGAGTTGCCTTGTTAACCACACTCACTCCTCACACTCACACACTTCCTTCTACCCCACTGCTGGTCTCAGCTGCTGCCTGCTCTGTTGATTATACGAGTATGTAGCTGCTGCTGTTGCTGCTGCTGCTGCTGCTTTTGGGGAATTCAAGTCTCGCATAGATCTTACCAATTACTTCATTACAAGCGTAATGCCGCTAGGCTTGCCAACAGCTACTACATCAACAACTTCCACAACAACCACAATTACCACAACCACACAAGCCTTAGACCGAGACAATGACAATGAAATGTGAGCTCGGGCTCTCGGGCTCCCGGTCTCAAGCCTCTGTCTCAATATCTTTTTATCTTTTACCACTCCTCCGCCTCTTCTCTTTGGTCGCTGTATCTTTCTCTCTGTCTCATTTACCATTTGCATTCGAGTGGAAAATTGTCGCCGTTTAATGGGCGCGAAAATTGTGTTTTGGAAAACCGTTAAGAGCATGTGGACAGCATCTGAAGATGAGGATGAGATGAAGACGGAGATGCAGAAGGAGGAGTAGATGGTCTACAATGTCAGGCCCATGGAAAGTGTGTCAGTAAGCCTGGGAAATTGTCAATGAATGCGGCAGCTACATATAGGATATTGTGAATGCTGTTTGGAGAGGTTTGCTTTTAACTGCATAATGATGCAACAATTTTCTTATCACATTGCTCGTTGGCTGTTTGCATTAGCAGGAAAATAAGTTGACAGTTGGAGGCTTCCTCAGATTGGCTTCCTTGAGGTGTGTTTATCCACCGTTATCGAATATTTGCACATCACTTTGGGTCAGTGGCGTACGCAGAGGGGCGAAATTTAATGCTAAAAGCCACTAAAAAAGATCTTCCCGATGGAATAACCCGTATAGACAGATTCTAAGCTCCCCTTGTGTTACATTTCCACAGATTTGCCGTCAAAAAATTTAAAGTCTAGAATATGCCAAATACATTTTTAAATACCCCTTATTTTAATTTTTCCTGTGAATGTCACTGGCCGTGCGTGTCGCTGGCGCTGACTCACTTAGTGATGGCTATTTTCGACTTAATTGCCTCGAACGTTGGCACTTTTCTTCTGCTTATTTATTTTAAGACAGACAGTTCCAAAGAAAATATTGTTGAAGAAAGTCAAGTGACTTAATCAGTGGCTTCATTTCGCTACCGATAATAATTTCTTAATTTTAAAGAACGGGTATTTCCATTTAATTGTATCATTATGAGATGAAGTGAAGTCTTCAAAAAGGTGAATAAGCTTCTAATTTAATTGTGGAGAAAAATAATACTTGTACTCAAACATAAGAGCCAAAAAGTAGCCCAAGGGATCTATCTATTAATATAATATTTGGATGTTAATGAAAGCCAATTTATATACCATTCGATTTAGAGTGCAGTTTCCCAGATTTCCAAATATCCTATGCACAATCCACTTTATAAATTTACATTTCTGCATCCGAAAGTTGAATGCTTTACTCAAATATAGTGGCCAGAAATTTTGTAAAGTTCTTAAAGTATTAAAGCATAATAAATATTTGTATATTACGCCTAATAAAAATTCATTCAAAACTGAATTTCCGTTTATTGCTTGGATTTTCTGGTTGCAATTTCTGGTTTCCATTTCTCCACTTGAATCGTTTAGCTCTTCCATATTCATTACACACTCGCATTTTGTAGGAAAAGTCATGTTCTCTCTATGTTCAATTTGAAAAGTTTCTCCCTTGATTAAATGATGTGTAACATTTGGCAGAGCACTCAAAATGACTTTATTGGCCGGGCTCAGCTCAGCCTCAGCTGTTGGTCATGGTAAACTATGGTAATTTCCCAGAGAACCACAATGCACCCCCATTCAGGAAGGAGCACCATATACCCCCCAATCTCGCCTTCTTTGAATAGGGGGAATGCCAGGGTCGCCCCACATTTTCATGGGCAATGCCATTCCAAGTTCAAAGGCAAACCAGACCAGCAGACCAGTCCAACCAGAACTGGGGAAAACTCTACTACAACAGCATCAGCAACGTTGCAATGAGCTGCACTCTCCTCTTACCCCCCCCCCCCCCCCTGCCTTCTGCCTCTTTGAAACACCCAACCCTTCCTCCTCCTCCTCCTAGTTCTCCTCCTCCTAGTTCTCCTCCTCCTAGTTCTCCTCCTCCTTCTCCTCTCTTTTCCAGTCCTTGAAGCTTGTTGAGATAGTGCCCCTTGAATTATTCATGTGGCTGTTGTGGATGACGCCGACCCAGCCATTGAGTCTGAGGCATTCAACCATCGCAGCGATGCCCCCTTTCCTTCCTCTGGAGATTCCCCACCTCGCGCTCTCTCACCTACTAAAACTAGCCCCAATCCACCTCTTGCGACCCCCCTCAGCGTACTCGTTAAGTTGATGATTCAATCATGAAGCGTTTATGAAAATTACATATGGATGCAGCTGGTTATGTGTCTTGGTTCTGGCTTCTGGGCTCCCCCCCACACACCCAAGGAGCCGAAATGCTTTGAAAGTTGTTCTCCAGTAGGTGATTCGATCGAGGAGTTGCACAGGAACTGGGACTAGTACTGGGATTAGCTACCCATTGGGTGGTCTGCTCTGACTGCAGACTTCTCCAGGCTCCCCGGCACCACTGCTCTCTTTGCTTTCATTTGCTTCTGTAACTTTATGGTTCTAATAGGAGCTACACATCGAAGGAAGCCGAATGTTTGCATACCCTGAAAGATCGAATTTACCATGGGGTACCTTAAGAAATAATTTTATTTCAGTTTCGATTTTTGTTAGACTTAGAAATAGGTCTTATTGTAGTGGGCCATATTAAAAAAACATCTATTGATGCATATATGAATATACTCTTATATATGTTTAAGTACAACAAAAATTCCATTAAATTTGTCTTTTTTATATTTAAAAAACCGAATATTTAATTTAAATATGGATGTTTCTTGCACTGTTAAATTTTTCTCTAAGTGAAAATGCGTTGCAAACATCATGCCACATTCACACTACGCCAATAAAGAGTATAAAAAATAATTTCGCTTGCAGATTTGTTCAGAGAATTTTTATAGTGCGACGCATAAAAAATGAGAGAGAAAACCACACGCCTGCAACGGTAAACTTAAGCAAAGGCAAAGGCCATAAAGGTGCACGCTGCTCCAGTCGATCGATAAAGATAAATAAAATCGCTAAAATGATTTTAAGCCTTAATGTTTACGGCAAAAACGTCAATGGGCGATCAACAGCGCCCAAGTGAAATGCTCGAACGGCATTGAAAACGTAGTGGAGTTAAATGCCAGTTTAGTGAACTGCTAAAACGAGCAGAACCCTAATGGGATATTAAATAATTAACTTGATAACAGGTTTGTCAGTGACACACATTTACAAACATCTAGATCTGAAAAAAAAAATTCCTGAATTGGTATAGATACTCGACCTATATTTAAAGGCAGTTGTTAATCAGACATTTTAAAGCAAATGACGTTAATTAGCTCTTGAATTAGCATTAGCAAACAGATATACATATGCTACGAATGATACGAACGGAGAGCGTACGCCACGAGCGACATTACAATGCAATCTCAAAAAGTGAGAGTCGAATATAACATTGCATTGGAGCTACCAATGTTAATATTCTGCTAATAAAACTATGGTCTCTTGGATCTTATCTTTATTTAACAATATCATGCAATTAAGTTAATATTTTTAGTAACAACCGTTTTCGGTCTTCAGAATATTCTTTATCAAACTTCCTGTTATTTCCTTTTCAGGGACAATCATCATAATGGCCAGAGCTCACAACAATCGGATGAACAAAGAAGCCGAATGCAAAGAGCCCAAGGCTCAAGTCATTTACATGATTGGAGAGACAAATATACAGTATTATCCTCGAGCCACGATTCTCCATCGGTGCGACAGTTCCACTGGTTGTTGTCGGGATGGGGAGATCTGTTCCGTGAAAAAAAACGTTACGGTGGAGCTGCCATTTGTGTTGAATAATCGCGGCAAGATGATCCCGCTGGTCAATCACACCGAATGCGGTTGTGTGCAGAATGTGAGTCGTCGCAAGCGTAGCACCCAGTGCCAGTGTCCCAAACACTTCAAGGACTTCAGCTGGCGGGGAAATGTGGTGGGCGAGGTGATGCTATACTGCCGCTGCGATTGCCATCTCAATGATGCGGCGTGCCAGAGGTTAAAGAACGGCGAGGAAGGATTCGCCATGAATGACCGAATGTGAGTTTCTCAACAGAAAAGTGTAACTAACTTTTTTCTTTACTATCTAACTTTCTCTCGCCATGTTCTACAGCCGCATACAGCACCGGGAAAGCAGTCAACCGATCTGCAACTATGGCCTCTATGATGTGAAAAACGGACGCTGTCCACGTCCGGGCTCGATGCATCAGACGAAGCTGCAGACGAAGCTGCAGTGGGGCAAGGGCTAAGCTGGAGCCCTGGCCGCCAGCGAGTGCCGCCGCCATTGAACGAAAGCAATCCAGAACTGTGTATACACTAAATATTACTTATAAAAGATTACGATTAATGCATATTTACTATCTACTATATATTAAACTATGCGATGCAGCTATCCCACTGCATCTGATACAAGTTCCGTTCAGAAGTATTGCAACTAACATTCAAGTGTACTTAAGTTATCTCGATTAAGTTCATATCTTAAGCTATTTACCGTGTGTATCTGTATTCAATTAAACGATACTTCTAGTCACAGAAATCTTTTGGTTTATTCTGCTAAAGATTCCAATTAGCAGCAACAATCCGCCATAGATCAGCGCATAGACATCGATTGAGTAATACTGGATAAAGTTTAGCTGCCGGGCGGGACTGTACAGGTGCTTCGCCCCCCTGTGACGTATGACATACTCCAGCCAGTAGGTTGCCAGATCGCTGGCATTCCTCGGACGATCGCGGTAGAGATGGGAAGCTGTCGATATACTCACGGAGTAACGGGAATGGCTGAGAATTCTTCCCATTGCCTTGGACAGCTCTACATGGCTGACATTCTGCATAGACAAAGTCGAACCCCAGCCTTTGGCTTCCATCTTTTGAAGATTGGCTCGTTGATCTCCCAGCAAGGGTAGCCCCAACATGGGCACTCCATGGTACAGCGCTTCGGTGAGGCTGCCCTTGCCGCCGTGTGTGATGAAGAGGCACGTCTGCTGCTGGCCCAGCAAGTGCCGCTGGGGCCACCATTTGGCCAACTTTAGATGGGAATGATGCGACATAATTTCACTGGCATTGAGTCCATCGTAGGTCCAATAGATATCATAGTCTGGGAATTGAGCAAACGCCTTTGTGAAGGTCTTAACCAAATGCCCAGGAGATCTTTTCCACGTGAAGCGGGTGCCCAAGCTGAAGATGATGAGAGAACGATTCCTCGAAACCTCTGGCAAAGTCTCATTCAACTTTTGCTCCAAGAGTATTCCACCTATATCAATCATGCTGGGCAATAGCGGCGCAATGGGTCCCTCGCTGATCATATGATGATTATTCAGAGCCAAGACAACAGAACGACGCATTGTCTCAAATGGGGGATAGTGCGGCTCCGGAAAATGTGAACTAAAGTGAGAAATCGTGATAAGCGTTATAGAATTGTAAGTCAGCTATTCGCACCTGTAAATCTTTTGCAGAACTCTCCGCGCCACCATTTCCATTAGCTTTTCCCACACGCCAAAGAGCCAGGCAGAGATTCCACTACGCTGCCGACTGTCATATGGCTGAGACACATACCAGCGTTCCTCTGGATTCCCCATGAGACTGTTGACAAATCCAATCGGCTGTTGGGTGGAGACAATCACCGCTGGACAATTGAAGTGAGCAGCCACGCCCAAAAGATGATCATTGAAATGGTAGCCCAAAAGTAACAGATCAAAGTGGGGCTTGGGTGACAGATTCAGGAAGTCTTTCCAGGCTGGCTGATCGAGGAGATCCCCCGACTGCTCCAAGCGGTTAAACATCCGCTGCAGACGCAGCAGCCAATCCGAGGATGTTCCAAGATTACCCTCATCCGCTGGCTGTTCCCACGGCACCAGAATGTGTGTGACGTTGCCTTGCAGTTCCACCTCCGCCAAGGGGAGCGTGGTGACCAACGTTAGCTGATGACCCCGTTGCAGCAAAGCACGAGCCACGGCCATGTGCACCAGCAGCTGGGAGCGATGCACATTGACAAAGAGACCAAGTATGTGGTGGGACTGTACCTCCACCGTGCTGCAGATGCCGAGCATCAACAGCAGTATATGTCTGACCGGCGATCGGTTCATGACTGAGGCCGAAGAACGCCCAAGATTCACAATAACAAGTAAATACCAAGTCTTTGCGCCCGCTCCCATACCCACAATCAATCAAATTGATAACAAATTGGCCCAAAATAATTTGGTTACTTAACAAAATCAGTCACCGCCCGTCCTGCTGTGGCAAGAAATGCGATACACAATTTTAAAAGTAATGAAAAATTAACAGATATGGTAAATAATAATGTCAGCAAAGATTTGGATACGTTCGAAGCTAATTGGGGGATGCATAATGCAATTTTAATCGAACTACAAAAATAGTAAATACATTTCGAGACGCTTTTTGAACCAAGGAATATTAAATTTAATCTCGAAATAGATCAAATTCTGTGAGAAAACTTCTACTTATATCTATTTCTTACGATACCTTCATTACGATTAGATATCTTAAAATTATTGCTTAAACTTTTGCAGAGAATAGCTGCAACTGCATTAATATCGTTGACCGCAACAGACACCCACAACTGGCGTTGGACACCACAACTAATTGTCCAAAACCGCACATTCACGCAATGCTTAATCAGCAGCAAACTTAATTACATTCAGTTTTAAGCTTGTTTGTGGTTTTTTACTTCAACAGCAGTTACATTTAAAACTTTGCTGTGGAAAGGGTGGATATGTTTCTGCAGACTCCAAAAAAAAGGTTCCAAATAAATAGTCGTAAGTCTAGATAAAATTGCTTGAGAGCTACGTAGATCGCAAGCGCGAGACAATAGCGAGAGCTAACACCCCGTCGTAGCAGGAGTGCTAACAGCTGCTGCCCTAAACAAACATAAAGTTAATTAATTGGAATAGCAATCAAATATCCAGCTGAAGTGGGGAAATTATCAAAATTGTTGTGAACTCAAAATAATGTCCGTAATTCAGCAGATCAACAGATGAAGAAGAGATGTTACCCATCCGAAATGATCTATAAAATATTAAATTTATACAAATTCTAGACAGAACAGAAAAATACTCAACTATTTCTTGGGTAATTTGGAGTAGAAATCCTCGAGGAATTCTTTCAATATAAACTTGAATTTTTCCGCTTGCTTGGCCAGCTCCAATTTATTTTCATCGCCTTCATTGTCGAGCATCTCATCAGCCTCGCTCAGAGTCTGAAGGTAGTGCAACCAAGCGGACTCCAAGCCGAGCACCTGCTCATGCGTCTTCTCGGCCAGTTTTACCTGATATTTGTGGAGCAGTACAAATAGCTCCAGCATGGGTGTGAAGGTCGCCTGTTTGAGAGGCACCTCCTGAACCAAACGGGCGAAGAGCTTTTTGGCAGCCACCGTTTCGCGAATGGTGCGCGGCACCTTCATTACATTCCTCTCATTCCGTCGCATATAGCGATAGGTGGCTGTAAAAGAAGATTAATCAAATTGGGAGATTGAAGCATTATAATTCAGAAAGTCGCACCTCTCATCCAATTGGTGGCATGATCCAGCAGCATTTTAATATTCAAAGCCTGCCATTTCTCTATCCAATCCAGTATGGTGCTTTTGAGGGCATTCTGATTGATTAATATGAAATAGACATTCGTGATGGCATCCACAAAGGAAACATCATCGGCCAGCGCGCTGTAATGTTCGATTCCACCTTCAAACACTCCCGCTGTCCGGGCACTTTTCATCAGGCGTTCGGTGAACTGTTCTTCTGTGTTTTCCCACAGCATGCGATGGTGGTTCCACTGCTCCTGATAGCTGTCCATCTCCTGCCGCTGCTTGGATATTTCCGCTTGGACGCTGCGCATCAGCTCGGAGCATTCCTGATCCTCGCGAAACACTCCAGCGAATCCCTGTCGCTGCTCTGCCTTGGGCAGCCGCAGCTTGTAGCCCAGTCGCGGGAACTGATCCAACATGCAGCGGATATTGTCAATCACACCACACAGTATAGTGCCAATTTCATCCATATCTGGACTAAACACAATCGCACCATCCTTGACATCCGATTCCAGGACCAATATGGGTGCAGGTGCCATGTCCTCATCGCGATGCAGGGCATCGTAGAGCTTGGTCAAAGAGCTGCGAGCGCTGGTCATTAAGGCATTGGCCAGCATATCATCCAGCCCGTTCACATAAACAATCCACTCGGCAGACATCTAAAATACACAAGAGTTTTCGTGTAAATACAAGAATTAGGTGTATCCACTCACCTCATCTTTGACCAAATGGAACTGCCTGCTGAATGCGGAAAGCAACTCCACAATATGGTTGTAATAATTCCTCAGTGTATCGCCAGCACTCGTCAGCCAGCCGGATAGTTGCTGCTGCAACACGGATATGTCCACGGCGCCCATAAAATTAAAGCGCAGCAGAGTGGTATCGCAAATCTTTTCACAGCACCTGGCCACGCCCCGATTCGCACGCTTATAGATGTGGACAATCTCCTGAAAGTCTTGAACAAACTCCCCGCAATCTTCGAAGAACGTTTGCTCGCTTAGATCGGCACCGTAGGTGTGCTTGAAGATGCCCGGAGCCAAGTGCCGATCGCAGGCCAGGATCAGCGGTCGAAATAGCTTCCGTTCGCGATCTGTGAGGCCCATCAGAATGCGATTGTGGCTGAGACACAGTTGCGTGACGCTATTGTACACGGACCTCAGGCTGTCGCACCTCTCGTAGAACTTTTTGATGGTACTCGGTATGGGGAAGCCCAATCGCTCAAAGTGCTGGGCCTGCTCGCAGATCTCGACGACAGCTGGATCTATGTTGCACTCCAGCAGACCTCTCGCCTGCTTGCTGCGTACTATCAGATAGCGCTCGAGTCTCTGGTCGAGATCGGCTGACCAGCCACAGCATTGCTTTTGCCAATCCTCATACGCCTGACGCGCCTCTCGATCGTACTCCTTGCGTAGGGAATCGAATTTGGCCAGCGTAGCAGCAGCCTCCTTGACTGCCGGCAGCCATTCGGCGTTCTTCAATCGGTTGCGTAGCCAGGTGAGGCGTTCCAGATTGATGCGATAGTTGAGGGCACGGGACACATGATGGGAGAGCCAGGACTCCTGTTGCTGTCGACACTCCAGCAGCTTTCTCGACGAGGCATCCATTTCCTGGGAGAACATGCGCCACAAGCGACTCACCTCCCGCAGGAAGGTCTTCCTCAGAGTGCCGCTATGGCGATAGGAGTAGAAAAACAGGGCTTGCAGACCCTCCAGGGCCTCCTCCACATTGCAGACATGCTGAAACACATTGAAGATCAGACGTTGGACGGTTTCCTCCAAGTGCTGGACATTGGCGCGATACATGGCCACCAGGTCGTACCAGTCCTCGCGATGAACATTTAGGATGATCGACTGTGAGCCACTGCAGCGTTGCAGCTTCTTGAGAGTCTCCAGAAAGGTATTTTCCACATTTGCGGCAATCTTGTCCAGCTCCGCGCCTCTGGTGCCGCCAAACTCGGCCCTGGGTATGGTCTCGTTCTCATCCAAACGGCCAAATACAATCATGGACTCGCATATATCAATCACATCGTTCAGCCGCTCCACAAAGGCATCCACATGATTGAAGATGATCCCCTCGTCTAGCTGCCAACCCACTTGGGTGGGCTGCCTCGATATTTCCTCATAGATTCCTTTGTAGACCAGACAGCACTCGATGGACGTGTTGCACATCTTGATGCCAAAGCGCGGCCGTCCCGCGAGTATCTCCTGCACTTTGGTCTGCTCGGTGCAGAACTTAATAATCTGATTGCTGAGATTCCGAAAGAGACCTGTGATCAGTTCCCGCGTGTTATAGTACTCCGAATTCAGCCAGATGAAGCGCACGAGATGGATTATTTGGGGCAGCAATTTTGTGAGCTCTGCGGGACTGTTGGACAGATCAATTTTGGAGCAGGGCTCGATCAGCAAATGGAGATACTTTATGTTGGACAATGATTGAACCAGCTCCAGCTTGGCCGACGCTATTAGGTCATCTATTTGGGGCATGTGAACGGAGTTGGATTGCCGCAGCACATGGAAAACCTTCGCCACATCCGACTGAGCCAATTGGGCGTTGATTCCCTGCAGGACTTCATCTAACAAGAGGCAGAGATTGCATCAATTAGATAGGTTCCGTGAAAGAATTGCTGTACCTACAGCGATATTCCCAGAATTCAAACTCATCCCGCACTGTGACCAAATCGTGGGGCACCGTCAATGTGCAATCGCCCATCAAGGTACGAATCTGAGTTGTCCAATAGAGAGCAATGCCTTCCAGTCCCTTAGCCAGCTGCCTGTCCACCTTACCCACTTCCCCCTTACCGACCCCGAGCTGTTTGATCACATAGGGAACATATAGCACGGCCATGCCACCAATCTGGTAGTGCGTTCCCGTGAGGAATCCCAGAAACCTATCCATGCTCGAGCAAAAGCGCAGGCGGACGGTGTCATTCCATTCGGGATAGTTGCGGAAGAAGGGCATATACAGCCACTCCAGGACATGCAGCAGGCAGCCATCTACATCGCTATGAACCGTGCCAAACTGGATCTCATCGTGGAAGGCCTCCACAGTGAATATCTCGTTCGGTTCGCGACGAAAGTAGCTCATGTCGGTAATGTACGTGGTCGGAAAGCCCAGGCAGGCGGTAAGCGTGCTCCCGTCATAGAAAACAGTCAGCAGGGGCTCGTTGACCTCCAACAGCCAGCGGCGAATGATGTCCACTGAGTTCTCATGCCAGTCCCGATGGTCCAAGCAGCTCAGCACACACATGCGCTGTATGAACTCCACCAGCTGATGCAATTCCTCATCACTGTACGTCGGTCGAGGTGTCTCAACACGCAGCTCCTCCTGGCGCTGTTCCACATTCCGCTCTAAATTTGCGGTTTCAGATTAGACCTCTCAATATAGGTTGTCCCAAACTCACCCTCGTCATCGGTTAAATCAGAGTCAGTAAGATGTTCATCTTCTACAGCGCTAGAGGACGTCATTCTCGCAAGTTTTATGTTTTTTTCGCGCAAAATAAATACAGAAAATCCATGGTAACTGGCACGAGACTACCGTTACTTGTCTGTTGCAACATATTCGAATTAATTAAACGCTAAAAATAACCATCTCAAAAAAATATCGAATTTGGTATATTTAACTGTAAGTAATTTTTACGCAGTCACACTTGGTCACACCAATCGCCACATTTGTTTTGGCGTCACTTTGAATTTTTAATTTAAATTTGATTTCCGCGAATATGTCGAAAAACCCGCCAATAAACAACGAGATGGAAATGGTGATCCAGCAAGGAAACACCCTGCTGCCCGATCTGCATATACGTTCCAGCGACCTGGCCAATCCGACCGAGGCGTTCCTCACCAAAGTCTATGTTCAGTATTTGCGCTGCTTCGGACTTCGGGCGGACCCACCATTTAATGTCGACAACGAGAGCACTGATACATCGCGGGAGAAGCGCGTTTTCCTGATCAAACTCTGCCGGCAAGTGGAGCGGATAATGCAAATCACCTTTCCCAACAAGACGTACACCTACCTGGACATTATCAGGCCTGGTAAGCGGCTGTTGATCAAACCAAGAGATGATCTCTTAGTTCTCTCCAACTTTTAGCCACCAAGAAGACAATAAAAACACTGGACTTTCTGTTCAACTATTTGGCCTACTACAAGCAGTTCAAGAGGTCGGTTCTAATGCCAGTCGAGGAGAGCATTAGAACACGAGAGGCCCTCATCGCTGAAATCACATCCAAGCGCTGTCAGGTGGAGAATCGAAAGGAGAAGGCAGCCACTGTTAAAATTGACATTGAAAAGTGCCAAGCCGCCATAAACGAGTTGCACGAGGAGCTGCCCAAGGCTCAGGCCGAGTTGTCCAAACACAACAAGATATGCTACGAACAGAAATTAGCCCTGGATTCGCTGGAGAATCAGCATACAGAGCTCACCAATCAGATCCGGCACTGGGAGCAGCTAATCGTAGAGGATGACCAGGTGCTGAATCTAAATAAGTAAGTTATAAAAGCATTCCAAGAGCTTGAATCGATCTCCTAATGCTATCACACCGCCCTGCAGGCAAATCGAAAACATGTCCCTAAATATAGAGAATTGCAAGGAAGAGTTGGCCAGCCAGGAAAAAGAATTCAACGATCATCGCCGTCAAATAGAAGCCAATCTGAATATGGTCAATGAAATAGAGAAGGCCTTGGAGGTGCTGCCGCCCAATCTGTTGGACGAGTACAAGGAGAACCTCAAGCAGCAGGAGCTCATGGAGAAGCAGCTGCCCGCCTTGGAGGCCCAGAATCAGAAACTTCTCAACGAAATTGATGCCAACAAGGTGGAGCTCCGACAGTCCGCCGAGCAGTTCCAAATGCGCAAGGAGAAGTACGATGAGGAATGCCAAAGGTTCCAGCAGCAAATCGATGGGCGAAAGGCCGCCTTTGAGGAACAGAAACGAGCCGAGGAAGAGCGGTCCAAGAACATGGAACTATTGCAGCGACAAATACAAGAACAAGCAGTAAAGGGCAATATGATTGAAGAGATGTTGTTGGAACTTGATAAAAACTGAAAATCCACTTAATATATTGATTTTATTCTAGATTTAAACCGATCGTGCTCGTTTTGATGGTTAGGTACGAACGGGGGGTACGGGTTGGCTTGGCTGGATTATGTTTCCATTTTCTTGCTCTCCAGATGCGCCTTCAGCTGCTGGCTGAAGTCATCCTCCACGTTATCGTCGTCCCAGTTGTCCTCCCACACGTTGAGCTCCTCCTCATCGTCGCCGACACGGAAATCTACAAACGACAATTTGTTTTTTTTACAATTGCTGCTCCTCTGATTGGATGCAAAGCGGTCTCGTCTCACCTTCAGCGGGAAACTCTTCGAACTCATCGTCTTCCTCGAGCAGACCCAAGTCCTCGCCCTTGTTGGTGGTCTCCTCCTTCTCTTTCTCCTTTTCCTTATCGGGTGCAGACATTTTGTCCAAACAATTCTCCTTACTTTATTTATAAATTATTTATTTGCAATTTTCGACGCTAGATGCCGAGTCACTTGTTGCCAGTGTGACCGTAGATTTAACGGAAAAAATACCGTCTAACCCTTTAAAACCCCTAAATTTTTCAACTTAACCCACTTAAGCCCGCTCTATTTAAGCAGGTGAACACTTTGAGTTAAGCCGCTGAAAATAAATTCATCGTGTAGGTCCTCCCCCTAAATTTCATAATATTCGCACGGAAATTGAAATAGCCACTGTGTTCTCTGTCCAAGATCGGAAATTATATTCCATAATTTTGATATTCGGTTTAATAGTTAGGACTATCAGCACTTAGCATATACATTTGTCAAATAGATTAATTTATTTTCTAAATGATTGGTTAATTTCAAAGACTCTCTTTTATTGGAGTTCATAGAGAATAAGGTTTAAACAGAAAAGGTTAACAAAAAGCGTTGCGATAAGCGGAACGAATTTGGCAGTTTGTTTTGAAACTAACAATATCATAGCGGTAAAACTACTAACGACGTTACCTGCAATAAAATAACTGAAAAAAAAACATTTTTTTTGTATGATTTTTATTGTTTTATAACATTTTGACTTGTGGCTATTTGACTTTCAAGCTAAAAGGGTTATTGAGCATTTGGATTTTAAACTACATATAATTTAAACTGTTCTTCGAGCATTGGCTGCTTCTGTTGTTGGCTATTTTAAAACAATTAGAGCGAAAATTGATGTTACATTAACATTTATAAATATATAGGTATGTATGTATGCATACGTTTATATATGTATGTTTCTATATTGTTGTTGTTGTTGCTGTTGCTGTTCTGGTTTGCTGCAGTATTTGATTTGTTGCATAGCGAACTTTCGTTTTCGGGATTTTGTGCTGGCCAAAATGTAAAGAAAATCAAAAACCATTTCTCATCTCGTCCGACCTTTCTATCACTTAAAGTTAAAAATTTTGTATGCCAAAATATATATATATTTTATGTATATATATTCCTTTGTATTGTTTTGTTTGTTTGTTTAAGTATCTAGTTTTACATTAATATAACTGGTAGTTCAACATTTAACATTTAGTTTTGCTGCGCTCTGCATCTACATAATTAAATAGTTTTCATTATTTTTGTTTTGTTTTTGATTCCATTTGTGTAATGTTTGTTTGTTGTACAATATACTCGTATATGAGGAATAAAACACCATACATTGATTAGTTATATTGTTGTTTCAGTTTTTTCAGTTTTTGTGTGTTCGGGCTGGCCATCTCTCACTTTTCTCTCTCTCTCTGTCTGTCTGTCTGTCTCTCCATCTTCTCTAAACATTATTATTCATCACAGATGCTCTACGCACAAATCAAATCAAAATCGAATTGAATGCAATTATTATCATCATTTAACAATTTGTTACAAGCTCCAATTTGTGAATTACATTTGACATGCTTCATAATTGCGTTTGCTAATTGGGTGTAAGGGGCGGGGGATTGGACTGAAGAAGTACAGGGATGTTATATATATCTATGGATGGGATATATGGTATACATATCCCTAAAACAAGTGCGCCTGGACAGCAGGACAGCATGGGGATGTATGTGTGTGTGTATGTGATTTAGGTATATTCTATGTATGTATGTATGTAGTAGGTTTATAAGATAATATGAAAGCTTTTCTAGAAAAAGTGTTGTATCACATATAGAGAGGAAGAGTGTTAAATATGTATTATTTCTTTCGTTTTCTGTTCCGGTTTCATAAACTGTTTTTGTTTTGTTTTTGTGAGTAACAAAGTTTTGAATTATAAAAAAAAAACATATTTTCTTATATGTGTACGCTTCATCTTAAGTATTACAGGGGGGGCTGGGCATGGGGGGTAGGATATACATAGTACATTTGTAGAGTGAAAAAAATCAAACAGCTTAGCCTCAATAAAATGCATTCAAGTAAATACATAAATATATATTGTTTCGTTTCTGTTTTCTGTTTCTCGTTTTCAAAGTAGAGCACCAATAAAGTTACGCTTAAACAATCAATAAAACATAAAAAAACTGTAGGTTGTAGTGGGAGCCAATACGATAGATAGTAGCAATAAATACAAAGAGTAAAAGTATAACAGCTAAAAAATACATTATAAATACTTAGCATAGCTTAGATCGTTTCATTTCAAAGTGCTTGCTTCATTTTGTGTGTGTTTCTGGTGTTTCTGTGTGTGTGGATCGCCTGTTAATGGATCATCTGTCTGGCTCTGTCTATAGGGTTTTATTCCTTTTACAATTCTTTTTTATTTCTTTTTTTCTTTTTTTGTTGCCATTTAGTTTTCTTTTTATATTGTTTTTAAAACGCTAGGCGTTCTCTAACGGATTTCTTTTGCGCTTACGAACTACATAAATACACATCAAACATCAAAAATATGACAGCATACATCCTATTTACATATGTATGCATCTATATATATATATACTCGAATATGGATAATAAAGGTTTTGTTTTTTTTTTTTTTTGTATTATATCGATACAAGACAACAAAGTTTACTCGCGACGCGTTCGCTTCGGCCGCGAGGCGGCTATTGAATCTCCGCCTGGCGAAGAGGCGCCTAGCGATGCTCCTCCCGCTGATCCACTGCCGCCACCACCAGCCCCCACACCACCATCTGTGGCCGATGATGATGATGCAATGGCCGTGATGGTGGCGGATATGGTGGCCGCCGATTGCTTCTCGGCCACGCCACGCACCTTCCGCGAGGCCACCGACTGGGCCGTGACCTGCAGCGATATGGCGTGCGTATTGAGCTTCTCGGCTAGCAGCAGATCCTTGAGGCCCTTCATCTTTTGACTGTATAGCGCAATCACCGGACGCTTGAGCATTATCTCAAAGGGATCATAATCATCGGGTGCAGTCGCCTCTGGCTCTGGTTTAGCTTCTTTGTGCTGTGATTGGGTTTGGGTTTGCGTTTGGGTTTGGACAGCATGATGGCTTGCCTCACTAGTAACTGGTAACTGAATGGCAATGGAGTGGCAGTGACCGCTGCTGCTGCTGCTGCTGCTACTGCCTCCATTGCTAGTGGTTACTGATGCTGTGGTTGTTGTTGTTGTTTTTGTAGCCTCCTTTTCAGCATTGTGGTGATTGTTGTTATTGCTATTGCTATTGTTGTTGTTGTTGTTGTTGTTGTGGGGCTCTGTGATCTCCGTGTCCCCCAATGATGTCTGCTGCTTTTGCTCTGCAAAAGGCTGACCACCGCCCTGCAGCAGGAAATCCGGATTGAGTATCTTCTCGCCACAGGCGGCGGTCAGATCAGCCAATGTCGTCGGCAGCTCCGAAGATTTTGTCTTCTATTTGAGAGGAATGAGAGGAAAAGTGATTAGAAAAGAGTTTTTTTTTTTTGAAATCAAAAATACTTTGAAGGAAGGACCTCTGAATGGCGAGACCTTTGACTCACCTCGTCCTTCTTTACCACGGTGTTGTTATTTCCCTCGAGAGCCTCTGCTCCTGCCGCCACCATCGCAGCAGCAGCTGCCGCCGCGGCAGCAGCCGCTTCTTTAGCCTCCAATGCGGCCGCTTGTGCCTGCTCAGCCTCCAGATCCTCGGGCAGCTTGATGACCACCTGAGAGCGTATATCGTAATCAAATTTGGTTATATTATTGACCAGCGGCTTGGCCCAGCCTATGTGCAGAATGGGTGTTAGGCTGTCCTCCTCCCACTGGCAGATGCCATCGTAGAATCGCAGCAGATTGGCAAAGACCTCGGCATCCCGCAGAATGCTGCGTGCCGAATGGCCCGAGCTCTCCGTCTTCATCACATAGGGGATCAGCTCGTTGGCAATGTCCAGCAGCTCCTTGTAGATCTCCTCGTCGTCGCGGCACTGGTACGTGTACAGGCGGATCACGTCGGCGGCATTGGCCCAGGCGGCGAAGGCGTCGCGATACTTGAGCAGACGGTTGTAGTAGTTGCCCTGATACGTGTACGGATAGACATGGTGGTTGCGGTAGTGCGTCCTCGCCGAATCGATGGCCTCGCGGTAGAGCTGCTCGCACGTGATGCTGCTATGCGTCCGATGGATCTCCTCCAGTTCGCCGAGAGTGCCCAGGGCCATGGGATACCGCTTGAGGTGCCCCAGATCGTAGAGGAGCCACAGCAACTGCTGCTGCAGCTCGGCCACTTCCACGCAATCGCTGTTGGCCGTCAGTGAGATGTTGAGGGCGGCACAGATGGCGGCCACCTCCATGCCACGCTCGCAGACGACCGCCAGGCCGCCGAGATAGAGCCAAGAGCCCGACTCAATTCCGGGGCGTATGTCCTGGCCCCGCTTGTCCTCGCTGCCCTTGCCATGCCACGTCACCTCGATGGTCTCCACCCGTTTCTGGCCAAACACCACCCAGGCATGGTCCTCGGAGATGGCCAAACGCACATCCTTGTAGCCCAACAGCTGGCAGCCGGCCACCACGGCCAGGGCCACACCGAAGCAGTCCAGCTTGTTGCCCGACAGATAGCTGTAGAGGTTCTGCAAGTGGGCCCGATCCTTGTAGCTGCTGCGGATCAGCGAGTTCCATATAACGTCAGACACCTTCTTGATTATCTCACGCGTGGCCTGGCGGTGTGGCTTTGGCTTCTCCACCACCGATAGGATTGTCTGGAACTTCTTGTACAGACCCGCAATCAGCTCGTGGGTCACCACCGGAAAGGGAACGCTGTTGCCCATGATGACGTCGCTGCCGCCTGCCAAAACAAAAGGGGAGATCGATTGATTAAGTTTTCTTGATCATACAAAAAGTACAACGGAAACCACTTAAAACGGAACATTTAAGGGTGCAGTTACAGTACTTTTCATCAACTAAAGACTTTTTAGGGGAATTTAATTATGGATTCAGTAAAGGATTTTTGTTCTACAAGAATAGGCTTTTGAACTAATAGTTTTTGAGTAATCGAATCAAATGGAACTCCATTGCTTCTTTTTTTATAATTATCGGTTAACAAAAAATATATAAACAGGATATACAAATTAAGACAGTTCAGGGAAGATGTTCATGGATGGAATTCGTTCTATCATTTATCAAGAATACATTACTAGTTTTAATTTATTTTATCGAGTTTTTTAAGTTATTTTATCGAAATTAATCGAAAGCTGAAACAAAAATTCGAACTTCATGCTTTGTTCATTCCTGCTTTACACTTTTGAAACGCACTGTCTAATTTCGGGCACTGCTTCCCGACTGAGGGTTAAACTTCCGTTTTAATTGGTTTGTGATAACGGTAAATGGGTACGCACCTGTCGCCGCCTGCGTCATGTCAGCTGCTGCAGCAGCGGCGGCGGCAGCGGCTGCCGCGGCCGCCTGAGACGCCGCCTCTCCCGTGGTCAGCGAAAGCTCGATATACCCCACGACAATGGAGAGCAGGGTCAGATCGGGCTCAATCCCGGAGGTGAGGGCGCGACGGAACAGATTCACAACATCCGCGGTGGACTTGAGCGGAAAGAGGCTGGCGTCGATGATGCCATTGAGAGCCATGGGGCTGGCGCTGGCGCTCCGCGTGACCGTTGACATAGTGTGGCCGAGGGGGGTGGGCGGGAGCTGTTGCTGCGCGTGGGTGTTGCCGAGGGGGGAGTGAATGCGAGTATTCCACAAGAGATATTCCTGTTGCCCGTTTCGATCTAGCCGCAGGCGTTGCTGCCTTTGAAATGACTCGAGGATCGGGAATCGGCGACGGTTTCGGTATCGGATTGGGATTCCACTTGGTAGCTGTACAGCCAGCCAGCAGCCACTCTTTGTGGCTGCCACATTTGAGCGACCAACAAGTTGACAAACAACTTTTTTACTTTTCCACCTTGTGTCGTCGTGTCCGTGGGCCCTTTTTCTTGTACTTTTTCTCTTGGTTTTTTTTTTGTGCTTTTTGTTTGTGTTTGCCTGTGTTTGCTCCTTTTCTGTATGTGAGTGCGGTTGTGCACTTTATTCCTTGCCTCTCTCCGCTCTTCTTCAGGTGTGCACTCCTTGTCTCTCTCACTCTCTGCTCTCTTCTTGTGTGCAGTTATTCCTTGCCTTCTGCTGGTATGCACTTATTCTTAACTTTTCTTAGCCTCCTCTCCAGATATGCACCTTTATTCCATGCTTCTGTTCGTCTCCTCTTGCTCTTCTGCTGTGCAGTTATTCTGGAAGCAGGATTTTCGCTCACTTTATGCTGCTGCTTCCTTCACTTGCACTTATATGCAACAACAACTGGTTTGTTGCGTTGCATACTCATGTGTGTGTGTGTGTGTGCACTGGAAAAATATGTGTATATCCTGTCGTCGTCGTTTGACTGCTGGCTGTCCTTCGTTTTGCAGCCCACGTCATCAGAAATCGGCTTTTGGGCAGGTGATTTTTGTCGTCGCGCTTGACATGCGTTTCGTTTGCTTATGACCTGCTCTTCTCTTCTCTCCACTCCACCACACTTCTTTTTTTTGGTTGGTTAATGCTCTGCACCGCCACCCCCGCCCACAAGTAATTTACACTTGACACGCAGTTTCTTGATTTAACCAGAAATATATATGAATCCTACATGAAATCATTCAACATTTGCTTAATTAATAAATCGCACTCGATTTGCCGCCAATTTGTTTCAATTAATTTGCTTATTTCGTTCGAGTGCGTAAATAAAAATTCCGTTCCGACTTTATTGCGTTGTGTTTACCTTTTTGCAGCAGTGTGTGCACACCAGACACGTGCAAAAGTCCCATGGCGTTGGAATAAGTGCTGCCAGTCTAGCAGTTTTAAGGCTATATCTAGCTTTTCTTAAAGTCTAATTAATTATAAATTCCGCTACACAAAATGTATCATATTTGTGCATCTAAAGTTCACGATACGGATGATAAAATGTATTTATTAAATTGGGAACTTAAAGAAGACCCCATTAACTTTTGGACAGAGGTGTTGGGTTAACAGACACCCTGGAAAGCCACTTCCTCTGTTTGTGATTCAAATGTGCTCTCTCCCATGGTCTAATGCTGACGCATGGTCTTATTTTCAAAGGGAGTATAAAATCGGATGTTGTGGTTCTTAATTTATTACTAAGTTAAAAAAAACAGAAATGTTTTAGCTTTTTCGAATTTAGCTTGTATTAACTCTGAAATTATGTCAGCACTGCACCAAAAGTGCTGGAAAGTGTCAACATTTTAGGCCAATGTTGGTATTTTTACTAGAGGTATTTTCCAGTGGCGATAGTGCATTTGTACATTCATAGTTTTAAAAACAATTCAACAATGCCGGTTTTTGCCAATTACCATTGCAAAACAACTATAGACTGTCAACAGGGTGCTGTGCGTGCGGTCCGCTATAATGGTGAGTTGATATATTCGTCAAAGGCACACATTTTAAGTGAATACTTCCAGTTGATGGCTCGTACTGCTTGAGCTGCGGATCTGACAAGAAGGTCAAACTTTGGAATCCTGCCACCGGATTGCTCCTAAAGACCTATGGCGGCCATGCCGATGAAGTAACAGATGTTGCTGGCAGCTGTGATAGCAGCTACATTGTCTCTTCTAGCTTGGATAAGAGCATCATCTACTGGGATGTCTCCACGGGTGAGTTTTCATGCTAATTTTAACCAAAACTCAATAGATTTTGGTTTTAGGAACACCTGTTCGCCGTCTGCGCTGTCATGCTGGTGGCGTCCGTTGCGTCTGCTTCAATGAGGACTCTTCCATAGCCATTTCTGGTGGCCGCGACAATGCAGTCATGTGCTGGGACATACGCACCCGCCGCCTAGATCCCGTCCAGGTCATGAAGGACGCTCGCGACTGCATCACCACAGTTCTGACCAACGAAAACAAGATTTATGCCGCCTCGCTGGACGGCTGTATTCGGCATTACGATATACGTGTGGGAGAGATGACCTGCGACAAGATCGGGGAGCCAATCACCTATCTGGCCAAAACGCAGGACGAACAGTGCCTGGTGGCGGGCTGTCAGGACAGTGTGGTGCGCCTGATCGACTGTGAGACGGGAGGACTTCTGTCCGTATACAAAGGACACAAGGCGGATGACTATCACATTGAGTGCGGCATCTTGGCCAATGATGCGCACATTGTGGCCGGCTCCAGTGCGGGGGATGCCTACATCTGGGATCTGCTGGAGGGCAAGGTCCTGCAGAGGATACGCATAAGTATGGATTATTATTTTCTAATTCAGAGAAGGCAGCTTCTTCGACCCTATATTCTTGATCTGCATCTACAGCCGAGTAAATGTAGCAATGTAATTTAATTTTGAAGATTTCTATGTCAAACATTGCACAAATCTTACTTTTGGCTGCATATAGAAATTATGTCGACATCGATTTACTATACCAGATGTCTAACTTAGGGAACGAACTTATCTACCTTAGCTAATTAGCTCCAAGGATTATTATATCGATCGAAAAAGTCTGTTAGAACAACTTTATTTTGTTTCTGAAGACAATCCAACCTAATCGATTCAAAGTCCGTTTCATTATATCTATCTATAGTTAAGAAAACTATCTTATCCTTTCGTTGCACTGTTTTAACATCACTGAAAATATCTCTATTGCAGGTGACAATGGCGGAGTGGTCCACTCCCTGGCCACGCATCCCAGGCGCTCGGAGGAGCTGCTGTTTGCCAGACGGCGGGACATGTACGTTTTCACCACAGACCTGCAGATCGAGGAGGAGCAATTGTAGTGATCAGATGCAGCTACTGTTTAAGCTTAAGTCCATTAGCAAAAGTAGGAATCATTTGATGTGTTTCCTCTCTAAGTTTAAGTTCGTGTTTAAAATCGTAGAAGCTCCATTTACAGATCGATGAAGACCCTGTTTTAGTGGGAATACGATCGTAATCTATGTTTAAGATCATCTCAAAATAATTAAAGATCAGTTGTAGTCTGATGCGATCCTTCTAAGAGTTTCAAGACCATGCTAGTGATAGTTAATAAATAATACAAAAAATATAACTCCACAGTTGTTTTTTTTTTGAGGGAAAAAGGAAAAACCATTTATTTGACATAATTCTTTGTATTTTTTTAAGTTTTTTTGTGTTTTTTTTTGTAGTTTTCTGTTTTTATAGAGCATGAATGTATGTAGTAATATGTTGTATGTATGATCTGGCTTATATACTCGTATGCTTCAATGTATTTTTCATTTTCTTGATTTTTTTTGTTTAACGGTAAACGGCCTGCATATTGTTTCCTTCCGACATCCATCATATCCCGAATGCCAGACACCTGTGCGAGCGGTATGACGTGTGTCGTGTGTCTGTCTGTCTACTGCTCTCTCTTCGATCATTCTCATACTCTCTCTCCTTGTGAGGGGAAGGGGGGGATGCGCGGGATGCCAAGCCGCCAGCGGAGGCTGGGCGCTATCTCGGACACTTGGTGTCTTGGTAGCTGGCAGCTACCAGAGGGCGCAAGCTTGGGGGGCGCACGCGTGCACGCAGCCTCGCAGCGGCTTAGCCAAAGAGAGACAGCAGCAGTGGCGACAGCTCCATCTCGCACAGGCGTGGGCATTCGCTTATGACGGGCTTAAGAGGGGGTTAGGGTTCGAAAGGGGGGTTTTTAGCCCTTTTAACTCTGAACATTGTTGTACTTATGTACTAAAGCATATTAAATATGTATGCAAAGTATTTATTTATTCTTTTATGTATATATTTAAATATATATATATATATATATATATTTAATCGTATATATATGCATGTGTATTTCTGTGTATTTTTTTTTAGTAGTAATTTTATGTAATGTTCCGTTACTTATGTAGGTATGTATTATTTATATATGTTTATGGTATATGTATATAATTTATATATATATATATGTATTTATATAATATAGTTTATATAATAAACGATTTTCACTTTCTTTTTTTTAGTTTTCTCATTTTTTTTTTTTTTTGTTTGTTGTGTTTTCTTCTTACGTTCGTTATTAAAGGGGTTTTATGATTTAGGCTTAATCTTTCGATCTAATGCTCGCTCTCAATCTCGTTCGCGCTCGCTTACATAATTAGACTTACATTTTTTTTACACAAATATATCAACAAAAACTCAATAAGTTCCATTCAAAAAATAATATATGAATCCGTAAATAAGGTAATATTTAAAATTAAGAAATAATACACAAAAATAATTTAAAGAAAGGTTAAAGTAATGCGATGGTTTTTATAGAGTTCAACACATATGCTTCTCCCACACAATCGTTAAGCATGTGTTTTACATATCTATATGTATATACGGATATCCTATGTATATAAATACACCTTATAGATATATAGTATGCATGTATATTATATACTTTATGTTGTTTTTTGTTTTAATGCGATTTTTTGCTTAGTTTTTCTTCCATTGGATGATTTTACAATTTTGCTTTTGTTTTCTCTCTCCAAACTTTCTTTATATCCTTTTCTTCGTTCCTCCCTCTTTCTCTTTTTGCTATTTATTGTGTTTCTCTTGTGTTTCGGAGTTTATTTATTTTTATTAATAAATAATATTTTAAAAAAATCCATAAACGTTTTATGTCTATTTTTTTTTTGTTTGTTTTGTACTTTTGTTTGTTTCGTTATTCTGTTTTGTTGCTTCTGTTTTGTTTGTAAATCAATTTGCTTTCTCTCTGTTTTATCCGTTTGCTCCTCCTCCTCCTCCTTCTCGTCCTCTTTCCTTTTCTTTGTCTTCTTCTTATCATAAGGCTTAACCCTTAATTTAACAATGGGCTTGGATTCTTCCTAATATTTGCAATTAATTACTGTGGCTATTTATACGCGATTCATTTTTGTGGAAAGATTTTTGTTTTGTTTTGAAGAAAAGAATATTTTGAAAATCCAAAAATACAAAAATTGTTTCAGTTGTAGTTTATCCGGGGATCAGTTTTTCATTTTGTTTTGTTACTAATTTTTACATGTGTTTTCTGCCTGTGGTGGGGCCGCCTCTGGTACGTAACGGGTCTCTCAGCGCCCTAGCATTTGCATTTCTGTTACCGTTAGTGCTTAGATTACCGTTACTGTTACTACTGCTGCTGCTGTTACCGTTACGCGGAGGAGGCCTGCCGGCGACTGTTACTGCATGTCTCTGCTTGTTGAAATTAGTTGTTGTTGTTGTTGTTGTTGCTGCTGCTGCTGTTTCTGTTGTTGTGGAAGCCACCGTTCGAGCGCCTTTAATACTAGCTCGTGCTGGTCCTGATCGGGCGCTGCTCTTGGTCGCGTCATTGGGCAATCAGGATGATGGCAGCTGCTTGGCCACAATCACGCCCGGGCGACACTGCTTCAGCGCCGTAGTGATCGTCAGCTGCTGACTTCCGCTGCCACTGCTGCCGGTTACAATGGTGGCAGCTCCCTGGTGGTGATTATTACCGCCAATCCCCGCACTCCCGCTGCTCTGCACCTTGAAGATGGCGGTGGGCGTGACGCCGCTTCCGCCCCCATCTTTGGCCGTCTTGGCCGTAATGATGACCTTGTTGTTGCCCTTGATCTGAAGGAAGGGCCGCAGCTCTGCCAGCGCCGCATGCTGTTTGCCGGTGGTGAGGGCAAGTGGCGCATCCTGGGCTAGCCTGTGATGATGGTGCTGCTGATGGTGGACTCCCACAACGCCCGAGTGATGCGTGCTGGTGGTGACGATCTGGTGGTGATGATGCTGCTGGCTGTACTGCTTGTGCTCCGAGCCGTTGTTACCGTCGGAGAAGAGATGATCGCCCTCCAGGTGCCGAATGGCCTCCACAATTGTC